GTTCAGACGTGTGCTCTTCCGATCTCCCCAAAACCCCAAAACCCCTCTATGATTGTGAAAAATAAGTTAATTTTAATTTATTAAGTGAGAAGTTAAAATTTAATAAAATTGGGTTTATTTCTAAATAGGCTCGAAACACTTCCGCTCTAAAAATGAATAATTGAATGGATTCCATACCATCTCTTATTATTTTGGAAGCTTTGAGCTATTCTAGAAAGTAACTAAGTAACTTTATCTCTGAATGAGATAATGTTCAATGAAAATTGCAATTCAATCATTCATCCGTAAGTATCTTAATTTCCTACTAGTGGCTGTTATGAAGTTAATTTATTCTATTTGAAGTGTGTGCTTTAGCCTAGTCATTTTCCTGTTATAGCTTTTCCTTTTCACCTTCGTCACTGGTACTATTGATCTTTTCCACTCTTTCTTTTTCAGCTTCATTTTCGATTTCCATAAGTTAGTTCATTTCCTTATTCTGTCTCTTCTTTACCTCATCAATGTCCATTTCGTTTGCTTCTTCCTTTATTGAGAAATCAATACCATACTTGGCTAGTGCTGTATTGTCAATCTTTCCCTTGCGCTTCATTGATTCAAAAGCATCCATAATAATTTGCTTTTACTTATCAGCTTCTCTTCTGACAGCAAACCTTGTTTCCAGTAATTTTTCTTTCTCTTTTCTCAGTTATTCACTCTTGATATTCCCATATTCTATTTTTTCAAGCACTTTTTACTTTTTATATTCTTGAGCTTTGGCTATTCTTTCAACATTCTCAACTTTCTCCTCTCTTTTGATCAAGTCCATTTCTCTTTTAAGCATCAGTTGCCAATCTCTCTCGCTCTAAGTTTTCGAGAGAATAACATCTTTCTCTTATCTTTTTTTCTTAATAAGGTCGACTCTAGAAATTTCCCTTTCCTCCATTTGCTTTCTCACCTCTTCTGAGTGCTTTTCTTTTTCCAGCACAAACTTTTTCTTTACTTCAATTTCTTTTTGGCGCTCAATGCTAAGTTTTTGAGTCCTCTCCTCAGCTATTTTCTAAAGCTATCTTATTTATACTTTTCTCTGTTCTTCTTAAATTTAGTTCTATTCAATGACCTTCTATATTTCTTGCTATCTCACAATTGACCTTTACTGAATATCTTGCTTTTCCTTTTCACGTTGTTACTCAAAGAATTTGCGTTTTAATTCTACTTGCTAGCTTCTTTTTTCAAATTCTGATCTTTATTGTTACAAAGACATTTCAGCTGTCTATCTAGCCTACTCTATTTTCTTTTCAGCTTATTCTCTTTTTTGTGAGGCAAATTTCTAACGTTCAATCTATTTTTTGTACATGAATTCCCTTCTCTCTTGTTCCCTCTTATCGAGTTCAGTCTTCCTCATTTCAACTGCTTTTTACTGCTCAGCTAGTATCATTTCAGTTTACAACTAAAATTCTTCTTGTTTTTTCTTTCTTTCCTCTTCCTTGACAATAATATCTTTTTTCTTTTACTCTTCAATTTTTCTTTGCTTCTCTGCCTTTTCTAATTCTTTTTTATATAATTCCTCTTGCCTTCTCTTTTATTCTAAAGCATCTTATTCCATTTTAATGCGTTTTTTTTCTTCATCTTACTTCTTTTTTTCCTCAGCTTCTTTTTGCTATCTTGCTATTTCAATTCTCCTTCTTTCCTCTTTTTCTCTCTGTACCTTAAATTTGTCTTCATTTTTCTAGCGAATTTAATCCATTTTCAGTTCATATTCCATCATTTGCTCCATATCTTTCTTCTATCTGTACTTGATTTTTTCCAGCTCTCTCTTTTCCTTCTCTAGCATAGAGGATTGCATTTGACCTGCACTCTGAGACATCATCTATAGTCATTTGAGTTTAAATTTATTTTTTTTATTATTTTGATCTTACCATTGTAGAAGGACCTGGCTGGACAAAACTATTAGTACTCACAAATTTCCTATCAGTAATAATCGTACTTGCTCCAAATGCACCTCCAACTATTAATGAAGTAATCTATCTCATGTTTATTTTACTTTGTGAACGAGTAATGCTATTTCCAGCCGAATTTCTAAAAATTTTACTGCCTTTTTCAGCTTCATCCATGATGATCAAGCGTTCCTAATTAAAATTCAAGTAAGTAACTTCTTTATATCAATGATAATGCCTACCTCCTTTATTAGCTTAAACTTTTGCTTGCGTTTTTCTTCATAATGTGCCATTCTAATATCAATAAGCACCCTTGGAATGTTCTTTTTACGTTCTCTTTGAGCAATCTGCTCTTTTATTTTGTCCTCTGTAATGCGATCAAGATCAGCTGGATCAATGCCTTATCTTCGACAAGCTTCTAGTGTCCTAGGACTATTTAGAATCAGCTTGATGCTTTTATCATAAACTTCATCTGGGTTTATGTCATCAATACTGACTATTTTCTCAGCCTAATTTCAAATAAGATTACTTAGTTATAGATTGATGATACCTTCTCTGGGCTTCCTCCGTTATCACTCATTGTAGGGATGAATTGCTTGCGAATTTAATATCCTTAAAATAAATTAATTATCGAATTAGTTAAATAAATTCAATTATTTGTAAATTTATCATTAACTACTTAAGCACCGAGATTATAAGGCTAGTATAGATTAATAATTCTCACTTTACCCTAATCTCTCAAAAATCAAAGTCATCATCTTCTCCATCATTCTTTAGCAAAGAGGGTTGGCTCTTATAATATTCTAGGATTTATTCACTTGAAGTAGCATCTTCTACAGATTTATCGTCTCTTTCTCTTATAAATCTAGGGAATCTCAAAGCTATTCCTTTATTCTTTTCTACTGAGCCAATTGAGGCACAATAAATAGGACTCATAGATAGATCTGCGCACTTGATCTCCCACACGTATTTGGGCACAAGCCAAACATCAATATTCTTTTCCTTGAATTTCAAGTTAGAAGGTGGCTTGTCTATTTCAAGATCTTTTAATTAGGAGTAGATCTTTGCGAGCATCTCATCTGATAACCCAGTGGCCATCTTAGTCACAGTTTAAAGAACCTCAAGGTTTTCATCATAGCAAGCAAGAAGAAAAGAGCCATACATACCTGTTCTTTTTCCTTTACCAAAGTCTGCTCCTACAACAACTAAATCCAAACTATCACCTAAACCAGAATCAATATAATCTTTTTTAAGTTTCAGCCAATTCAGAGATCTCTTCGATGGTTCATAAGTAGCATTTGTCTCGAGAGTCTTGATCATTAATCCTTCGCAAGAATCTTTAATAGAATCACCTAGGAATTCCTAAATGGCTTCTAATGCCTCAGCATCCTTATATTTAGCGAATACGAAACTGTTTTGAACCTCATGAAGATTTTTATGAAGAATTTCTCTTCTTTTTATGAATGGTTCTTTCAAGAGAGATTCCCCATTAAGATAGAGAAGATCAAAAGCACAGATGCAAATTTTTGTCTTCAGATCCTCCTCTGTCACATTCTTTCTGCTTCTTTATGTAAGTGTTTAGAATGGTAATATTCTATTGTTAACGTGATCAAAGGCAACCAGTTCACTGTCTAATATATATGTCTCGACATCTTGACTTGCTGATTTTTCAACGAACTCTACCACATCAGGGTATTAGCCAGTCATATCTTCTAAATTTCTAGAGTATATTTTTACCATTTGTTATGGGTTATTTCTGTTGAAGTGGATCTATCCTCTGAAACCGTCATACTTGTATTCACAAGTGAATTTAACTTGTTCGAATCTATCTAAGACCTCTCTAACACCTTTAGTTGGTTTAGCCAGCATAGGCTTCACTGGTATGCCTACAGTAATATGGCATCTATCTTTCAGCTTTGGAAGATCATCTCCATGCTCAAGAAGTGTCTCAATTATTAGCCCATAATTAGGGAATTCGCAAATAGCTTCACATATAGCTAATTCGATTTTCTCACATTTTTCAGCGAATAATTAATCGCCGAGAGTCAATTTTGAATTCAGAATTTTACCTTTGTGGTTGGGTGGAGTATAAGCGATTGCTCTTGCTAAAGCTAAAATATATGTTTTCTCAGCTGCTCCAGTCTTTAAGTTTTTCTGCAGCCACCTGACAATATACTTTGCCTCTTCATTAGTTGCATCTTAAAGTAGTTTAAGTATAATAGATTCCTTCTCATTTTGAGAATTATTTCCTGACTATCTAGCAATTTTATTGAATGCCTCAAATACTCTTTTGAATGTTAAATCCTTTGGTGTTTCCTATGATTTCTTGAAGAATGTTCCAAGTGATTTTTAGACACCTTTACTTTTCTCTACAACAATACCATAGTCTCCTTCTTACTTAAACTGCTCTCTGATTTGCTTCAGAGATTTTCCACATGCTTTTGCAACAGCATTTGATAGAAGTTCTATACCAATACCAGTCTCTGGTGAATCGTAATCTGGACCTAGTTTAACACAGAAGAAATAGAACAGATCTGGTAGCTCTCTTGGATTTAATAGTATTGTACTTCTGAAAATATTTGCTACAATTTCCTTGATGGCATCCTTGCTATTTTTACCTCTACAAAGTTCGATTTCTGAAAGACCTCTTGCGATAAAACCGAAAGGTACAAGCTAGCCCTTGTGGAATGGAGCATCTTATATTGGATCATATTTTGCTGAGCTTGGGGGTTTAAGCTTTGACAGATCTTTTGGTGGGAAATTCTACTCAACTTCTTTCATTTCTTCATCATCTTTTTTGGTTTGCTTGGATGCGCTTGCTGATTTCTGAGCAGATTTTACCATTAATTTTTCCTCTTTCACGAAATCAGTAGCTTCCCCGTCATTATTTCTGATCTTCTTTGTAGTTGAATGCACTTCTACCTTTTCTACAATCTGTGACTCTTCGACCTCTTCAATTGTTCTCTTGGTAAGTCTTACTCCAGACTTAGAAGGTGTGCTACTTTTAACTGATGCATCAGTTTGAATCTCTGATTTGGCTGATGCCTCATTTAATACCTTCAATTTAGAATCAATAGGGGCTTCAGCGTTTTTATCTCCAATTTTCTTTATTCCTAACTGGCCTCCAACCCCAAAGCTAAGCTTTTACTAGGCTGGTGGTTTATTTTTTGATTAAGCAGCTGAAGAACTACCATCTGGTTTGCCAAAAGACAAGGTTGATTGTTTCATTTAAGTTTGTTTAAAGCGGAATATTACAAATTAATAAAATGCGCAATATTTATAATTTCAATTCTTAACAAATAAGGTATCGCGGGGTTTTGGGGTTTTGGGGTTTTGGGG